CAGTTATTACGTGAAGATATAGAGTAAGCTTTCCTCATCATGAGCAGTATATTCACGAACTCGAACCTTAGTGACATAAAACTCATGTTTACAATATAAATTACACACACTGTACGTGGATCAAATCATATTTTAAGGTAATGCCTCAATCTACTGCTGGTCTCTCTGCTACTTCTGATGGGGAGCGCAGCCGTGCATCACCATTTTTTGACCACCTATATCGTTCTGAATTCGAAGCCAGTCGATTTTGAAGTAGTGAGGTGACAAAACCAAAATTGAAAATGACTCAAGAAGTTCAGAATCACAGCAAACATACTCACTGCACACAGCAATCATATTCAATCTCAGCCGACAAAATCAAATGTTGACCACAAAAACTACGCACTTTTTTTCATTGGTGATTCTGAGTCCAAAACACTTCTTGTCTCTGTATAACGCGTGCCTGGAACTTGAGAGAAATGAAGTGGGGTTTTGGAAGGGAAATCCGGTAACAAGTTCTGCAGGTAACTCGTCTTCGTTCGTGACACTGAAGGTTGCAATTTAGGGTCGGCGATGAAGGACTCAAGAAACCCCCGGTTTAAACTAAAAGTCGAAGCGATGTAAGGTGAACTGAAACCAGCTGCATATTGCGAGAAACTTACGAAGGGATCAAAAGGTGTAATCTCTGATGAACATTTTGCAAAATTTACGAAAGAAGATCGTGAAATTTGATTGGAATAAGTTTGAGTGTTCAGCGTTGTGGTGGGCGAAAGATGTTGCATCGCGTCCTTCGTGGCACCTGCTTCGTAGCAGGTGATGAGTTCTCCCACGTCTGTTGAAAGGAAAAAACAACCGAACAATGTGAGTTCTGCTCTGGAATAAATGCATAGCAGATATCAAGTTTTTCATTTCCAATTATTTTGTACTTTATTTTACGCTGTAATTCAAGTAGCCTTCATGAAGTTTGGTCTATATATACCTAGATTTGCATTATTTGTTCATGGCATGAAATTTAAGCTCCCAAAGATTGAAATATTTTTTTCTATGAAATATATCAATATATTATACATATAAATTTTTTTCTGTATGATATAAATAAATTTTTTGAATCAATTTTAACAACTCATCGTCGTCTTCCTGAATATAATCGCAAAATAGCAAATGTAAATGTATCTAACAAGAACTGCTTGCTATGCAAATTTTAATTTAGTGCTTTGATGTATGAGCTCATGCGCTTTATACTTTATTTTCAATCTCATGGCATAAAAAAATTCCCTATATTGATGATAATAAACAAACTGTTAATTCGAAAACGATGTTATCGAAACGACGTTTTGTTTGTCAGTCGGGAGTGTTCATCAATGTTTATCAGAATAAATTGGTAGATTCTTACTGTGGTCCGGACGAGGAGTCAATGCAGTTGACAACAAACTGTCGATGCTGAAATTAATGGTTTTGTTTTTCGTTCCCTCTGATTTACAAATGGAGCTTTCTCCCAATCGTTCCATATTAAAATTTGTTTTAATATCAGAGCACTCTCGAAAGTTTTGCTTAAAATCTAATTTTCGTGTCACTGAAGTTTTTAAGTCGAAGGAACCAAATTGTCATTCACTTTTTTCGATTCACTCATAGTTTCATCATAAAATAGAAGCATGGAAAATCGGACTCTTGATAGCACCGTTTTTGTTCTTATTGCGCTTTAAAATTTTCACAATGGCTGAAAATGAGCCCTCTGCATGGTCATCGTTTTCATTGAAGTTGAAATTTGAAATATTCCTCGTTAGACGTTTTATGTGTGCGTCTACGAAACTTTTAACCACTGTAAATATCCAGAAATAAAAAAATGTGTGTGAAAATAAAAATTACTATATAATAAAACTAATTAACACACAGTATTTCGCAGGGATCAGGATTATCATATTTTCAAATTATGATGAGATATTGTTTATCGTGGCTGTAATTTGAGTGTTTCACAGAATAACAAAAATGAATTCCGAAAGATTGAAGCGGATTGAATATTAAAAATGATGTAAGCCAGTTTAAAACTGTCCTCTTTACGTGTGATGAAAATCCAACTGAGAATTTAGGCAACATGTATAATTTTGAGCATGTTCATTGCTCTTTGATTTTCAAATTGAATTGCAGTTTGGTTGCAATAAAAAGAATTAATAACAAATTATTTTCCAAATGTATTTTATAAAATAATAATAATTCTAAAGTTTCGTCAAGGGCCTTCAATTTCATATCTCCAAGAAGCTGCAACAAAGTTTAAGCATTGATCTGGAGTGAGTTTGGCAGTTTATTAATTCATCTAGACCAATGGTCGTATTATTCACTATAGTGAACACGGCGCCCGTGTTCATCAAAAAAGATAAGTGCGGATTCTATGGAAGCTCCGCGCTCTTTCGGATCCCAGGAGCAAATGTGGAGACCTACGATTGACAGCCGAGCTCCCGCCCTTTAATTGTTATTCGAACGCAATGTTGTCATAGCCGCTGAGGCTGTGAGGATAACCTGGAGGCATTTAACGTAATGAGTGAGATCACCGAGAAAAAGTATGAGTAAGGAGCATTGGGACGAAATACAAGAATTTAAATTTAAAATACGTAGAAATTTTGGGTTTATAAGTTTTTTCTATGCACTGATTGTAAAAATTCTTGCAAAAATATGTTCACCCGTCCGTTTTGTAGTTAAAAAGACTGAACGGACTAAACTAAGACTAAAACTAAAATACATGATGTTTGGTTTTTTTTTATCGAATTGCATTGTAACTTTGAAATCAAATTTTTTTGAATGGTCAAATTAGTGTACATTTAGAGCACGTGATTGATTAATAAAGGTTTTTTCTGTGCATTTTGCCGATTCGAATTAATGTGAACAATTTTTCATAATTATCGTCGCCTGAACAACTTCAGGTGATTAAAAAGCCGTGAGTTAAACTGAGGAAGAAGCGGCTGTCATATGTTCAACTTGTTGAAATTTTCCGGATGAAGCTGGCATATTAAACTGGAAGTGCACACGAGTTGGAAGGAAGATTTGAAATTGTCACGCTTGCTCCTCACGTTTCAAGTTATGTAATGTCATTCATAGTCAGGTCTCTCACTTTCAAATTGTTGCCTCAACATTTGGTTCTTTGCTCTTTATATTATACACATTGTCAGTTGTTATTAGTCGGGCGTCCGTGCTGGACAAAGCCAAGTATTGAGATCGTTTTTGACCCAATTTGGATAGTTTTTTTTTTTAATTCAACTTATCGTTGAAGTAAACGTTAAGTGTTTTGGTGAACATCTTTGGTGATAATTCAGGAGTTTTGCAAGTGTATGTACCACATAGAAGCTTGAATTGATCTCAACATCAAGTACTCTGAATGTCACGCTTCGTTGATTGCCATGATCGTTGATTGACAAGATCGTTGACTTCGTTGATTGATTGTCACGCTTCGTCACGCCTCTCCTGAATAGTTTTAAATTTTCCTTCACATTCCAAGACGTTATTTATCTTCAGTGAAATGTTCTCTAATCTGCTGCACAAGATTTCACCGGGGTTGAAAGTCCCAAAGAAAAACGAAGACCTTGAGATGGATAAAGTCATACTTTCCACAACTCGGAGCCCGAAAATTTTAAAAATGCAAGTTAAAGCTGAAGCAGCCGACAAGTCATTATTAAGTAAAAAAGTTGAGCCTCGCAGATCAAAATTGACTTTGGTCGGAAAGATGGAAAATTTAAAGATAATACAAATTCCGAACAGTAATACGGATGGTAATACGTGCCAAGGTAAAGGTATTTGCACGACAGTAAGCTCTTCTCACCTTACGTCCTGCACAAGCAATGTCGGTCACGAAGGTAATGACGTCGGTCACGAAGGTAATACCTCCACTCACGAAGGTAATGCTGTCACCCACGAAAGTAATACCTTCATTCACGAAAGTAATACCGTCACTGAAGATGGTAATACCGTCACTCACGAAGGTGATACTGTCACTCACGACGATGATGATGTAAGTCTCAACAACACTTACGAAGCATTGGACGAAACTCATTTGACGAAGTTTAAGCTTTGTGCTTCCAAGTGTGTTTTTGAAAAATGTACGAAATATAAGAAACGACAGAAACGTCGAGGTAAAATATAAACATATATGAAGTAGGGGATCTTCATCGAATACTCTTCTTATTTAGCTTTTTATCGATCATCAGTGAAGTATCAATCTTAGGTTCTTGTTCTAAGCATTGATTTACTGATATATAAAGAATATTGTATTGGAGAAATAACGTAGTATACCCTGCAAAATGGAATCGTTTTTTACAAATGAGAACGAAGAGAACTGTCTATTACGAGCAAAAACAAAGGCAATTAGATTAAAAGCTGTATTATTGATATTACGTACTTCGAAGATAACGATATATCCTCATGTAATTAGAGTGGAATCAACGATTTATGGAAATTTCTCTGTATTAAAGATCGTATTTAGGATTCTTTAGTCAATGATAACCTAAGATGCCAATAAATAAACCCCATAGTAGCAAAAAGCACAATTTTGCAGCTTTTCTCATATAAATATAAATGGATCACATATAAATATTGCGACAACTTTTTTAAATAGAAATGAAATGTTTGTAAAAAAAATCCGAGGCCTAATAAGCGCTCACTGCGTAAAATATTTATTTTTATGGTAAAACCATTGGTAAGGTTTCCAGATGTCGCCGGAATCTATATCTTGGAGAGCGAGATAATTTGGAATTCTTTTCTAGTAAAATTCACGTGATTACCGTGTAATATAAGATATTGAATCGACTAATTTTCCATTTCTAAATTTGAATTGAACAATTTATCCATACTTTTGTTAATAAAAGCATACATGTTGAAAAAATATCTAAGATAAGATCATGGATTACTTCCATTCCATGAAGTTCCTCAAGTGAGAGGAAGTGTGCTGGGTACGGCTGAGGGCAGTCAGTGTGGCACGTTTCTGGCAAGCTTTGCAGGCGACACGCGTTCATTCTGCCAAAGCGCTTTAGCTTTAGTGTGCGTCCTAAAGCCGTGGAAATGCGTGGGTAGCTGACAGCTGTGTGCGCCTCGCTTCGCATGTGCGTGTCTACATGGATACCTACTTCTAGAAATAATATACAGACTGCACTTTTATTTCGCTTTCTTTATATACGGTTTACGGGATTTTTTGTTATTAAGGATTAACTCAGGTACGAAAAACTCTTCAGAAAGCCGGTATGGCGAGTAAGGCGGCACTTACAGCGTGAGCACCTCTGGAACGTCACGATGTCGTTCTTCAATAACCTTTCTGGAAGCTCACGCAATTCGACGCCCGATCGTTGTTCAGCAAACTCTTCAAGTTCTAGTGATTTCTACCGCGCCGAGTCGCCTGCATCTTCAGTTAGTAACGGCAGTACGTGCAGTGATTCGAGTATGAGAAGTGATAACAGTTCTAGGCCAGGGCTGACCGGCCAGGACCGATTGAGAAATAATCAAAGTTCAATATTTGGATCCGACTTTTCGCAATCTCGGTTTTCTGATCGCATTCCAAGAGCTCGATCTAAATTAAATGAATTGCCGTCTTTTCGCGAAAGTTTAAGAAATTACTCACCCAACGCAAGACAATCTGGTGAAGTAATTCTCAACGAGTTGAAGGAAAAGATGAGAAGAGAGAGCGACACTTTTTTCAACTCCAACCCAAACCCTGCATTTGCAGCTTTCAGGCCTGGAGGCAAGGTGAGATTTCACATAGATTCTTAGATGTAATTTAGAATTGTTTTCAATTAATGTATCGCGAATGCGAAATGTTTTGAAAAATATTATAGTAATATAGCATTATTATAAATAATATAATTATCCTTTAACCCAAGTGTATAAAAATCTTTGTTGCGTATCATGCACTTATTCTAACAAGAAATTTAGTCATTATTTGCACCATTGTTTGTGCTGTATATAGTCGATTTTTTAATATTTAATCGAGAGATTTCCCTTACCGCATCAAACACGATTATTTCCAAACAAAATCTATTTGTACTAGATATGCTTTCATTTGCATTTGTTAGGGTGCCGAGCATTAAAAAGTTTGTCTCTCTTGTTCAGCACAGCAAATTATATCGATGTTCGATAAGTTTTTTTTCGCTTGCTCTCATTACTTGGAGTCTGGCCAAGTCAGAGTCTGCTCTCTATACTCCGCTGAGCAGCCCTACAAATACAAGCTCGCTTTGTTTCTGCAGCGCAAACGCTCCTGAAAACTAAATGTACTGCATGCGTCGTAGTCTACCACGAGGGGACAGGAACATATTGCACCAAGAGGAGACAGGAACATATTACATTATCATGGGACGTTTTATATGAGGAGATGTGATTTAATTGTGAAATTGCGCAACAATGATTCCTGGCTGATTGAATTGGTTCTAATTAATTCGTGAAAATTTTTTTTCCGTGATTTATAGATCAGCGATTGAGTTCTGGAATCATTTTTCCTACCTGTTAAGTGAACATATCACCGAAAAAAATTAAGCTGTTTAACTCCTGAAGTCGACCGTATCGTAAATCCATAATAAAAATCGACGCAAATTTTTGGCAAATCGTGGTTCAATTAAGTCAACGCAACTCAAGCGACTTTCATTAAGAAATACCGTTCTTTTTGCTCATCCGTGTTTTAATTAAGAAAAGCAATTTGATTCTGATGTCGCCGTTTTAGTAATCGACTCTAGTTTTAAAAGGGATTATCCTTGATACCTGTATAGCTCTGATTTAATTTAGTGGAATTTAATAAACACGCTAACAATTAAAGTTTAACTGTCGGTTTCTTTTTACAATCGCTTGCAATCATTTGTTTCGAAATTAGTTGTACCGATGAGTTTGGATCGCCAATTCAAGTAGAAAGCAGGTTTAAGCGTTCTAAATGTCGTCGCTTCATTAGTAGTTAGTGAGTCAAATTGGTTGGTTATTACAACACTTTCATCGTCGCTCAAATATTGATGGCTAATGACTCAGTTAGTGAGTGATCGTGTGAGGTTTACTTTTAAAAATGTAAAGAACCTGCCGTTCTCCAGAATATGAAAAATTAGGTGTAACTATACAATACACTCACAATTTACTAACTTGAGAGTTTGTTGACCCCCTACTCTCCCTGTGTACTTGCACGACCGCAGTACAAGCTCCAGCTCTTCCGCATTCCGAGAACTTCAGATACCGTCCGATGTTGCGGAATGAATTAATTGTTCTGGAGAAGAAATATCTCGGTATGTGAAAGTAAGAGGAGTCTTCTGTATGAAAATGTATATGTTGTGACGTAGTGAAATAGAACCGTGCTGTGATTTAAGCAAGGAAAGCTCACTAAGCGTTTTTTTACGCAAACTTTAGCACATTTTTTATCAATTCTATCCAAGCTCAACAAGCCTATGCTTAAAACTTTACCGTGTGTAAACTTATACTAAGATAAATACTTTTATTTTAAGACCAGTGAATGCGATCTTGAAGGAGTAAAATGTTCATCTCCTACAAATCGCAAAATTGCGGCATATGAAAACTTCATATCACTTTTATCAAAATGATCACGATTTGTTAAATTTTCATGTAAAACGAATTTTCCACATATATATTGTTTTTGCTTAAATTCTGCCAAAAATATAAAATTTCTTTTCGGATGAAATACAGTGCCCCCGAACCTGGAAGCGCGTTTCACGTAATATACGGCAACACGGTCATGTTCCGTAATTTATTCCGAGCCCCGTGCGTTGCGGCCATTAGCTTAATGAGTTCGAGGATTTTCTTGCCGTGGAATTTGTAGAAGATGCGGCTTGATATTTTATACGGTGCTTTGCAATTGTAATATAATTAATCTGACCTATGGAATCTCAGATATTATGTTGTAGCTGAAGTTGATGTTGCAAATAACGTCACGTCACGTCAAGCGAATTGATGCATTGCTCACATGTAACGTGTTTGCGATCCCAAATAAAATATGATGCAGTCGGTAAGTAGAAGAGCATTTGATGTTAGGTTTCGGATTGGTACAAATTTTATTGTTTGCTGCATGTTCCAATTTGTTTAAGTTAAAATTTGTGCGACAGGTGAGCACTGACCCTAACAAAATTTAGAGTCGCCCCAGCTTCTGGTAACCCAAATCAGAAGATGCCGCGTCTATAAATTTTCACTGGGGAGCAGCTATACCAATAATAATATTCCAAAATTGTTAAACTGTTTGATGCATGTTGTTGGTAGTTGATCGACAAGCAAGGTTGCGAGGAGCATATCTGTCTTTGATTGCCATATTTCAAATAACAAGAGAAGTTAGCTGGAACATACTGAGACTGTTACTGTTATACTGAGACTGTAACTGACAACATATACTGTTATATTGATATCAATCTACAACTACCATCAAGATTATTGCAGTTAGGTTACAGACGAGCAAGGGTTGTCTAGATTTATATTTAAGCGCTGGATATTCTCTGTTGAATGCTAGGCTAGGATGGGAACTACTGACTTGCGCTACGAGCACGGGGTTATCCTTCTCTTTCTGTGCAACTCTGACCTTCTCCGCCGCCCTGCGCTGACCTTCCCTAGGGCAGTCTGCTGACAGGCTGGCCTCTTCCACTCTAGGTCACTGATGCTGAGCCCCCAAATCAACATAGTTTATAACTCCGACTAAATTTAGCAAATTCCTTCCTATAGTATTTCATAAAAAATTCGGCTATTTATTATACGACTCTGATACTTTACAGTGTTTTTTTTTGTGTATGGATGTCGAAATGAAACTATAACTTATTGACGGTAAAGTATCACAAAGCATTTGATTGAATTCAAATTATTAGTCAATCCCACACGAAGCAAAGTACTATAGTAGATGGTACCAAAGCAAAGAAGGTTAAAACAACGACTAATTAACGTAACATCAACATTACAGCGTTGAATACTTGATTTGACATCAGATGCCTGGAAGGTATAGGAACTTATCAAGCCCGTCGGCAGTTCCGTGGCACAGATGACGCGATGTGGGGCGACGCCAGGGGCGGCGACGCCATTATTTCCGTGCCCCGAGGCAGCGTAATGCCATGCAAGCGTACGCGGAAGTTCTGCGCGTGGCACTCTTGCGTGAAGCATCACCTGCTCAACACCTGCGGCCATTAATAATCATCAACATTATAATGTTTTAGTTCAACTTAATTCTGGCGCATGGATTACGTTTGTAATCAACGCGAACAAGGTTATTATAAGTTTTTGTTAATTATATTTCTGGAGAAAAAACTTTATTGATAAGATTCTTACTCAAATAAACAATCATTAAACAATATTTTTATCTATACTTGTAAATGGCATACATCTGTGTGCCATGCAACCACTACAGGGTCATTATTAAATAGCAATTTTACTGTTAGGAAGGCGTCTAATTCCGGGCTCGATTTTGTTCCTATTCAACTTTTCGTTAATGGTGTAGATAACAATGCAATGAACCATAAATTTTATCCAAGGCTAATTATAGATTCTACCTTCCCAATACCCCGTGGTACATTATTCCTGATTTTTTTTTATCATTGCAAAACAGGTACACACTATTTTATTTTATAATTTACACCCGATTTAGACCCCATGCATTCAGAATTTCCTTCCTATCGCCCGCTATTGTTATTTGGATATTTGTAGAGGTAGCATGTTTATTAGCTCTTCAGGAAGTCGTGATCTATTCCGCTCCGTAACCTGAATATTGAAGCTGCCCGTCTCTGTATTGGTGGCTGCACGTCTCTGTATTGGTGGCTGCACGTCTCTGTATTGGGGGCNCTCATTGCAATCCCATGCAAGAGCCTCAATGACTGTCTCTTATACACATCTAGATGTGTATAAGAGACAGATTGGTGACTGCCCGTCTCTGTATTGGTGCTGCTGTCCTCAGGTCCCAGCTGACAACCATCAAAAGTTCTCGGTGGCAGGCAGGCCTTCTATTGTTCATGGCTCGGCTGACCGTAAGGACAAAATTAATCACAGTTTCATTTATTGCCGTTACAGTCGTAGTGTCACATGTTTACATTCTCATGTAAATTCAATGTTTTCATTATTATCCTTACGATATTAATTTACAGTTTTCTATTTTTCGTTTGGTGTGTTGTGATGACTCGTCGAAAATTATTTTGGTCCGTTCATAAATCGACCTGCATGTTAATGTGTACAAAAACATTTTAATTACTTGAACTCTCAAACTGGGACTTCCTGTAATAATATATTTATCACCAATCGCTTTTTGCGTGTAAATGATCGATTATACTTTGTATTACATTTTACTGCACACCGGTAAGCAACCCTTACTACTGATATAACAACATTCTCCAACTATTGATCATTTATTGACTGTTATAACACATGGACCATCCAACATTTGTTGCTACAATAAATGTCATCAATAAAGGAGCCTCCACAACTCAGGACGCTTCAGCCGTTGTTTATCGGATTCGCCATCTTTGTGTTGTTGAAGAAAATCAGATCTACAGGGTGGGCTTTTGTGGTCATAGTTCCTCCGAATTCAGGGCCATAAAACATATTCTATCTGGTTTCTTCAAAACATTACGTATATGCTATACTATTAAAAATACTATTAAATACTATCCGAATGGATTCATAAGTACTATTAAAAATTTATTAATCCATTCTACATCGGCTTTTGTTTCTTAAATGAAACTAATTTGGAGTAGTGACAAATATTGTCATTATTAAATTAACAATGTATCATAAACATA